CTACCTACCCTATTGAAACGAATACAGAAAATTTTAAGAATTCTTATTCGACTAATTAAAAAAAATAACTTAAAATTACTTTTTTTTTTTTTTGGTAGTTAACCATTGCTAAATTAGAAATAGAAAATCGAGTTTTATTTATTTATTTTTTAAACACTTTTATTCCTATCTGGAATTAATTCTAAGAGCTTTAGTCTTTCTTGATTAATTTTATGGCTAGAATTTTTTTTTAATTTTTTAAATATATATATAAGTGAATAGATAAAAATTAAATTATCTGCTTAGACTGTTCTACTTAAATGGCAATCTTATATATATATATATATTTTTTTTTTATAACTATCTTACGCTTGACTACTTAAAGAAAATAGGAAAAAAGACTGTTTCAAACTTGAATGTAGTCTATTAAGAAATGCAATTGAAGCAATTTTAGTACAAAGAATTAAAAATAAATTTATTTATTTTCTTGATTCTGTTTTTTTTTTTAATATAAAATTACCTCTTACTTTATTGCACGATAAAGATAATTTTAATTAATAAGCTTAATTTATTACTCGATTTAAAATTATTAATTATGAAAAATGAACAGTAATAGCTTCGTGCTTACAAATTGTTATGAACAAAACTCTTGAATAAAATTTAAATTTATGTTTTTATAACTTCAAATTCTTACAATTTTTGTAGAAGTTTACTATTTAAATATTAAGTTTTTAATGAGTTAATAATTTTTTAGGAGTTTTTTTACTTTTATAAACTATTTTAAAGGTATATTTATTGTGCTAGTTAACGTCAACAAAATTTACTTAATTTTTTTTTTACATTTTGTAACATAAAAATCTCTATATTTGTAGATTATCATATACTATAAACAAGTTATTAATATACATGTAAGCTTTAAAAAATGAACATAAACAGTTCATTTTTTTAATCTAGAATTAGCTTAAGTTTTAATTTATTTTTTGCTTCTTCTATCGATTTAATCACTAAATTTAGTCATTAAATTATTTTATTCATTAATAAAATAAATTATTATATATATACATTTTCCTTTTCTACATGCAAATAAAAATTAAAAAGTAATTTTTAAAGCTATCAACTTATTAAAATTCTAAGCAATTAAGCACGATAAATTGCTTAATATTAAGATAAATTCTATATTTAAAATGGTATTTTTATATTCTTTAAACTATTAAAAATGTTATAAAAAATTTTTTAATAAAAAAAAACTGCAAAATTTACATTGTTTTAATTAAGAAAACTGTAAATTTTTAAACATTAATTTACTGCACAAAATTTAATTGTATAAAAATTAATTTTGCATTATAATTAATTTAACTTTTTATATGTATATGTTAATATAATATTTAGCAAAATATTTTTGAAATTTCACATTAAAAAAAAACAAATAAAGTAAAATAAAACTTTATATTTATTATTATTTTCACATATAAACAGTGACTTTTACTTACAAAAATTGTCATACTGACAGCATTAATTCTTTAACATAAGAATAAAATATTCATCACTTAATTATAATCGTATTAATCATACAAAAGTTTTATTCGAAAAACAAACTTATTACCTGAAAATGTACTCAGCAAATTAAACATTTTCTAATTTTAATTGGTTAAAAAAAAATATATATAATAATAATTTATGGAAGCGAAAGGGCTAAAGAAAGAGAAGATGAAGAAGAGGAGGAGGGATGGAGAAAGGAAGGAAAAAAAAAGTGAACAGAATCTCTCTAATTTCTGATCATTCGTTTCCTTTCGAGAATTATTAATTAGATTTTTCATACAATTTTATTTATTTACTTTTTATTATTTTTTTTTACAATATTGATTTTTATTTTAGTAAAATTAATTACTTCGAAAAGTTGTAAGCAAAATGCTTAAGTTCTTGTTAGGATCCTCTTTGAAGGATTTTGTATATATGCCGTTTTCTATCGTTGTAGAAGATAATTTGATTGCAAGAGTCAACCCCCTACAACTTCTTTACCCTTAACTAATAAAGTACTGATGCTGTGAAGTGTATGATTGTGTTTCGCCGGCAACTTATTTTCAATTTATCAATGTTGGATGTTGATCCGATGCAATGGAGCGTACCTTGTTTATTCTAGTGAGCAAGACACCACAAATCTAAAGCAGATTACTTGCTAGCTTCTACAGCGTTTGCGACAGAATGATTGAAAAATCAAAAATATCTTACCCCCCCAAAAACTAATATTTTTACTTCGATTGATGAAATATTATTAGTTTAAATACCCCTTCTAGAACGTGTTCTTTATTAAAATTTCCTTCTTCTCTTCTTTATTTAAATGTAGTGAAGTGATTATTGAAAAAAAAGCGGGGGGGGAGGGGTTGAGAGGGCTCTTACATGATTTTCCATCACTCGAAGTGGAGGGGGTCAGGAAGTTTTGATAATTTTTATTATACTACGATATGAAATTTAAATAAAGACTTGAAAGAAGTAATTTTGTTGAATTATGATAAATTTCTTAATTTTTTTTCCTTTGTTAAATAATATTGTATTTAAGTTTTTTAAAAATTATGTGTGGCGCCATCTGTTATTAGATTTTATTTTAAAATAATTTTTTTATAATATTAATTGTTATAAAAGGCAAAAACTTAATGTTGAGAGATAGGGATGAGTTTTAAAAAAATTCTAAATCAAATAATGAGTAAAATTTTCATTAAGTCTGACTTTGCTAAAGATATAACACGTGACTCTCTCTCTCTATCTTCTCACCTCCTTGACCTTTAATTACCAAAATTTAATTGCATTAATGCCTCATTTATAGAAATAATCCTGCAAAGTTTCAAAATTTTTCGTTCATTCAGTCTTGAGATATAATTTAAAATAGATGTCGACACTCACACACACACACACACACAGAATTATATATAAATGTAAATTAAAATATTCGATTTAGCATTTAAACTTTTAAAAATTAGAAAAAAAATTGTCTATACAGTACATTGTCCTTTAATAAGTTTAATTAAAAATTTAAGAATAGTAAGATTTTATTTCTAAAGCGACGCGACGCGACGCAACGCGAATCTGCGAAAGCGTCGCTCATTTCAACAGTGGATCAAAGGTTATAGTGTGAATTTCTTTAAATTTAGCTACTATNTACATCTGCATGATTTTCAAATATCTGTATGAAATTGCATTATTTTTGTAGGGAAATATATCCCTATATGAAAAGAATTTTTGGTTAAGGAAATATCTCTAAATTACTTTGTGATTTGGGGATATTTCCTTAACCATTGTTATATCCTAGTTTCAATTATTATAAGGGAAAAAAAAGCATTGAAAATTTCTAGTGTGATTAGGGAAACTTTATTAGGGAAATATCCCTGAATAATTTTTATTGTCCAGGGATATTTCCCTAATTCCTGTTATATTATAACATTATATTTCAATTATTTTAAGTGAGAAGAAAAGCATTGAAAACATCGAGTTTGATTAATTTTAGAATGGATTTTTATAAGAAAACGTCTTCAATATTCTACAGGGAAATATTTCCGCATAAATTACAAACAGCGTTATGTTATTTATGCGAGATATCCCCATACACGCATTTGAAATTTACGTTGTAAGATATTCAGAAGGGAAATATCCCTTTAGGGAATTTTTCGCGATTCTTATTTTCACATATCGGATATCGTTACATTATACTGTATGTAATTGTATCTTTGTAATGTTTGTAATAATAATTTATTAATTTAAATTGTGTTAACGATGCAACAAAATCAATTTTGTAGATCAGTAATAATGACTTAATTCATTATATACTGTAGTAATATATTCATAATAGAAAAAGGTAATAAAATTTTTATTATATTTATTGTTCTAATGACCATGAGAAGATTGTAAAAAGTTTTGTGTATTCTTCTCAACGAAGAATTAAGAATTAGAGTGAGAAGTCAATCAGTTACTATTCATTTTATTTTTAGTACGTGAATAGTTATTGGTTAACTTCTGACTCTGTTTCTTGATCCATGATTATAAATACAGTCATTAATATCGAAGAATATTATAAATCGCATAATTTGTAGGCGAAAATAATCAGATTATGCAATTTATTGTATGATCGACTAGTCGCACGCGACACGCGACGCGACAGCGCGTGCGATTGGTCATTATTCTTAATGTAAAGAAAAATGCTACTGTAATAATATGTATACAATACGGCTAAGGATAATTAAAATAATTTATTTTTATTAAAAATATTAAATGTTAATATTTTTTATTGTGGCGATAGATTTAAATAATAATATTGTTTTTTATGTAATTTTATTACATAAAAATACTTTTAAAAAATTTTAATAGCATTAAATAATGTAAATATTTAGTGATTTATTAATTAATATAATAAAAAAGGTTAAAAATAAATTAATAAATAAAACAGGAGAAAATTAGTATATTTTATGATGCTGCCATCTCGTGGATGTTTTTTAAAACACTATAGTTTGCCCACATTTCTCCAGATGGCGACACAAAACAGACGTAAGAAAAGACTGAACTAAAATGGCAGACATTCTCATTTCAAATCCATTTATTTATGTGTACGCTAATTATGTTCATTAAGACATTTTAATTATTGTAATACTAGTATAGTGTTTTTAGACTGTTTAAAGTACATAATTATGAAATATTTTTGACATAAATTAATATGGCCATCCAAATAAGGGACAAGTTATGTATTAGGAGATTCATGATCTTTAATACAAATACTATGATAGAAATATAATAAAAGTGATTTTATAAATAAATAAATGAAAGCTTTCTATACAGGAATTATATAAACTTTATAAATATTCTATAAAGTTTATATTTAAAATAATAATAATAAAATACTTATAAAATATTCCAAAAGATGGCAGCATGTACAAACAACGTTTGTCGCCATCTATTAAGAAAAAAATTCATTAATATATATTATTTTTATATATTAATAATTTTCTATATAATTAACACATGCATTTTATTCATAGCACTGGGCCAAGCACCAGAGCCTGAATTTACGGGTCCTATTAAAAGCCTTACTGTAACAGCTGGAAGAGATGCAACTTTGCAATGTGTTGTGAATAATCTTGGAAATTATAAGGTATAATTTTAACTGTTTTCCCCCCAAATTTTCTGAAATATTTTAATGCTTATGTATAAATAAATTTTACATAGAAAGACATGTTATAATTTTAAAATTAATAAGAATTTATTCATTTATATTTTAACTTTGGATAGGTAGCTTGGATTCATGTTGACAAACAAACTTTGCTAACTATACACACATATGTTATAATTAAAAATTCAAGGTTTAGAATATCTCATAAAGATTTTAAAACGTGGTTCTTACAAATTAAAAATGTACAGCCTGAAGATACTGGTTATTATATGTGCCAAATAAATACACAGCCTATGAAAAGTCAAGTTGGACATTTAGCTGTAGTAGGTAAGATATTATTTATTTATTACAAAAAATATATTTAAAATTTATATATTTTATCTAAGAAAATAACAATAAAAAAAATAAAATTGTATTTTTCAATCTGCAAATTCATTTCTTAAGGGAATATTTCCATATTTATAAATAACGATTTTAAATCTATTGTGAAGGAAATATTCCTATACCAATAGCATTTCTTTGAAAATATCTTACACAGAATTTTTTCTTCTTTTTTTGCATAAATAACTTATACCTCATGAGAATTTTATTCAGATAAAATCCAAATGCATAAATACTAAATTACATCTGCATGATTTTCAAATATCTGTATGAAATTGCATTATTTTTGTAGGGAAATATATCCCTATATGAAAAGAATTTTTGGTTAAGGAAATATCTCTAAATTACTTTGTGATTTGGGGATATTTCCTTAACCATTGTTATATCCTAGTTTCAATTATTATAAGGGAAAAAAAGCATTGAAAATTTCTAGTGTGATTAGGGAAACTTTATTAGGGAAATATCCCTGAATAATTTTTATTGTCCAGGGATATTTCCCTAATTCCTGTTATATTATAACATTATATTTCAATTATTTTAAGTGAGAAGAAAAGCATTGAAAACATCGAGTTTGATTAATTTTAGAATGGATTTTTATAAGAAAACGTCTTCAATATTCTACAGGGAAATATTTCCGCATAAATTACAAACAGCGTTATGTTATTTATGCGAGATATCCCCATACACGCATTTGAAATTTACGTTGTAAGATATTCAGAAGGGAAATATCCCTTTAGGGAATTTTTCGCGATTCTTATTTTCACATATCGGATATCGTTACATTATACTGTATGTAATTGTATCTTTGTAATGTTTGTAATAATAATTTATTAATTTAAATTGTGTTAACGATGCAACAAAATCAATTTTGTAGATCAGTAATAATGACTTAATTCATTATATACTGTAGTAATATATTCATAATAGAAAAAGGTAATAAAATTTTTATTATTTACATATGTTTAAATTATTTAATAATTTATATTTTAACGTTCTTAATGCAATATTAATTTCATCGATTTAGTTTAATATTAAGTACTACTAACAGATGGCGACACTAGTTACTTCAGCTTCTAGCAAATTATTATAAATACTTCAAATAATTGTCAGATGCAAAATTATATTTTAAAATAATTTAATATTGCAAAAGTCATTTAATTAATTCTTAATAAATTTTTCCTAAATATATTTAATTAAAAAAGCTGTGTTTGTAATATAATGTACTTAAGGAATTTTCCTGTTTACAGAAAATAAATTTCTTTAAATAGAAAAATTCCCTAAATATTAATTACTATGAATAAATTTTCTGCATCTAGTCGAAATAGACATGGAATTATTAACAATTTCCAATAAATTTTTCCCTCGTAGGGGAGAAAACAGTAAATTATCCCTAAAAATCCCTTTTCCCAAAAATCCCTTTTAGAGAAATTTCTTTAAATGGGATTTTTAGGGAAATTACAAAAATTTAAAAAATAAAATTTTTTTAAATATTTAAGATAATGGAATATTTAGAAAATTGAAAGAAAATTCCCATTTTAAACACGATTACAGAAATTCTAAAGTAGAATGGTAAAAATTTATTATTATCTTCTTTGCATTTGATATTTATATTAGGATTATTTCTTTAAATGGCTGGCATTATCGTATTTAATAATTCGAATCGAAATTTGTTTAAAATACTTAAAAATAAGATAGAAATAAATGGATAAATGGATGAGTTTGACTCTTCTTGATACCAACTATCAAAATATGAGAAGGAAGGCTTCCAGCAAAGAAACAATCCCTAGAGTTTAAAGTTGAGGGACGATCTTCGTTTGAGAAATGTAGCTGCCAAGTACAGTTGATGTTAGTCGATCGAACTTCTATTGTTATCATACATGAATTTTACTTTATTTTATCTCTCTTGCAAAAGTTCACCTTATATCAAAGCCGTTGGTATATAACAAAAGATTTTTTTCTTTTTTTTTTTCTGAAATTTTCTTTTTAAAATTAAAAAAAAATTCTAAAAAACTTTTCTTTTTACTAAACTAAATTGTACTTACATATACTTTTACTTCAAAAATGAGAAGTATAAATAGAATCAAAAATAAAGTAAAAATTTCTGAATTAATTTTACATAGACTATACTTTTTAGAACCGTAAAAAAATCAGTAAATATACGAGACTGTCCAATAATTACGTATTCAATTTAAGGAAGAACGGGGGGGTCGAAAAATGTACATCATCGCGACCCCCTTTTGGGAGGAAGGGATTTTCCAAAAGTACATCTTTGTAGACAACAGGGAGGAAGAGAGTCAAAAGTGCCTAATAGCTGTACACGTAATTAATACACTGCTCTACATACTGTATATAAATACTAACTTTCACTTAAAAAATTAAACAGTCTACTTTCTCTCTCAAGAATGTTTCTAAAGTAACATTATTTCAGTAGATGTATATTACATTAAAACCTGTGTAAACCGGAATTGCACAGCACCGAATATTTTCCGCTTTGGCAGGTTTTCATTTTAAACAGGTTTTTTTCCCCTTTAACAGAAGAAAACTCTTTCCATTCTGAAGAACTTTTTCCGTTTGGACAGGTTTCTGTTTCATAAAGGTTTTGTTTTGGACAGGTTTTACTGTATATATATGAGAACTAAAATTGTTTAGTTTTACTTTATTTTTAAACAAAAATAGCCTTTAAAATAAAAGATATATGTACTAAAATTTCGAATGGAATTTCCGCCTTTATACAAAATAAATAGGTACTTTTTTTGTATATTTTTAGGATATAACGAAACATCAAAGACATAAAAATGAGATTAAGATTTTGGACAATAGACTGGAGTTCAGGAATAATAATCCTTTTTTCTATTTTACTTACTTGCTTTTGGCATATTGTAAATCATAGCTTCTTAAGTTTCACTTTTCTTCTTTCTTCCCCCTCTTTACATTATTTTAAAACAATGGATTTGAAATTTAATACAGATTGATTTTAAATAATGATTAATAAATAATAATAAATAATAATGATAATAAAATACATTCTGCAATTTTTGTTTTAATGAAATGTCAATTTTTTTTCCTATTTTCGTTAGGAGCATTTATAATAAGGAAAAATGATTTTAATGATTTCAAATGAGGGATATTCCCTATAATTTTGTTTAAAACTTTACTTATAATAGTTTTAAAAGTTCTTTAAATTTTTTATTTATTTTATTATTATTATTTTTATTTTTCTAGAACTAAGTAAATATTAAACACGAAAAGATAGTTTAAAAATTTCTAAAATTGTTAATTTTAGGGATATTTTTCCAGATGTATCTTTTGTATAATATGATTTAAAAAATGTCTTATATTTTAATATGTGAAAATATAAACTGAATTTTTCCCTACACTCGAAAATTTCCCTTATGTGGGGAATTTTTGTTTTTTTTTTAAAAAGGTAATTTTCATATTCATTATAAGATTTCATAATAGGGAAAAATGAACTTAATAGCTTAAAATGAGTGAAATTCCTTATAATTTCTTATCGTATTTTTAATTACGAAAAGTATTTTTATAATCTCAAATTATTTATTTTAAAAAATTTTTAAGTTCAATACGTGTCGATAGTTTAATACGAAAAATATTTTATTTTAAGGTTACTTTTAGGAAATATTTTTTAAAAACAAATTTTTTATATAAGATAAACAAATATAAATCTTATATATATATATATATTCCTGACATTTAGAAATTTAGAACTGATTTTTCCTAGATCTGAAAATTTCCCTGATGTAGGGAATTTTTATTTCAAAATTGCCTTTCAATCCGGGAATTTTCTGAAATGTAGGGAAATATACCTAAAATGTCCCCAAATTCAAGAAAATATATTTAAACGACAATCAAATACTTGTAAAACATAAAAAATCGCAAAAATAATTTGTAAATAAAATAAATATTAAAATTTTGAAGAGACTGTTTTTTTGGGGAAAAAAATTACAGAAAATTCGATTTTAGTAAAAAAATTAAAAAATAAAAAAATGAAATGGAGTAAGAATTTATAGCAATTTGATATGAGATTTTTAAACATTTTAACGGAAATTTTCTTTTATGAAAAAACTATAAATTCTCTAAGTTAATAAGAGAATTTTGAGCATTCAAAGGTAAATTTTGTTTATCAAAGTCTTTTCTACTGTCTGTAATATAAGAAAAAGCTGAAATGTAAACGGATCTGTAGACTTTTACGACTTCCGTTATAGATAGACGTTCCCTAGTTGCTCGTATTGGAACATTTAGCCTCACAAACTCCACGTTATTATCCTTCTACTCATATTTATCTAACTACAGACTTTAGAAAATGTTATCGCTTTTGACATAATTAATTTGTATAATTTAAAGTGTCAAACTATAATAATGGAATATAATAGTTATCTGGAGATAGCTAGAAAAATCTTCCAACTTATTCCAATGATAGGGAAATTTTTTTCTCTCTCTCTCCCCTAATTGTATAAACTAAACTTTAACTCTCGAGAGATTATTGATTAGTGAAGAATGTTTATTTATTATCAAAATATTTTGTTACATTTTATAATTAATTCTTATATGTTGATTTTACGTATTAATAAATGTTTATATATTCAAGAACTTTTTAATATTTTTCTTTAAAATTTATTATAAAAATTTTAAATAAATTATTTGAAATTACCATAATGTATTAGTAATTTAGTTATATATTTTTTTAGGGAATATTCCCTAATTTTTTTTTAGCTTTTTTTGATTGAAAATTTTCTATTTTCTGTTTAATTTTTTTAAAAATATTTACTGTAATATTACGTAAATTTAGAGGAATTGTTTAAAATTATCCCTAGTCCATTTATAATTTAGGGAATATTCCCTAATATTTTAGTGTTTCTACTAAAAAATTTTTATTTAATGTTTTTTT